CTCTTTTCGTTTAAACCAATTCTGGGGGTGGGGGGTCTCTCGTTGACGTGGAATGCCCCATATATATATATGTATATATATATATATATAGAGAGAGAGAGAGAGAGAGAGAGAGAGAAATAAAATATTATGCAAAATATAGAATAATAATATTTAGAACAAGTTTGCAATTGTATTATAATATTTATTATAGAGCATATTGTTTGTAAACTAGAAGGTAGACAGTTACGTTAAAAATAAATTCTACATCAATGATGCATTACGTTAGTACACTTTCACTCTTGTATTAAATAGAGCATATTATCCGAAAAAAAACGTGAAATGCAGAGACCATAATTTCTCCTATTCAATACATCCTCCTCTTCAGTAGTTTACCATTCACTCTATAAGACAACAACGGATTGCAAGTTTAAAGTTATATTATTAGATACAACAATGCGGATAAAATATAATTTTAATTTACTTTTTATACAAATGGCAACGATACTACTTTTCGTAAATTTTGTCGCAGCCCATTTATTGGAAAAACTTACAGAAATGACTTTGACAGGTAAATATCATAAATAAATCGTGATTCGATTGTGTGTATTTTATATAATTATTATATGTATATGTAAATTTTAATTTGTTTTAATCATGATTATAAATTCACAAATTGTGAATAAAGAAGGGACCTCAAAACAGGAAAGAGCATCAGATATTTTGTCGATGGGACAATATTTTCAGTGAGTCAAATCTTCTATATATATCTATTTATAAGTAATTGGCATTAAATTTTTCAGGATAGATTTTTATTTCTAATTTTATATGCCATGTATTTTTACATATACATATGTATGAATTTTAATACATTTTGTATATGATATGTGTATTTTTTAAATATCTTTTGTTTCACCCGGCACATAAGTAGTTTGAACGGAATCTTATAAATTCTGACGCGAATTACAGATTGTTTAAAGTAAATTAAATATAAGACATAGCATTTGTATAAAATGACAAAAAAAATTGTAAATGTATTTTGATGACGTTCATCCCATGTAGAGATATATTTTCGGAACATTTGGCACCTCTTAAACTTGAATTTGGTTATGTCTGTGAGAATCCTATTGAATGGGAACAAAGATTTGAACGAAAAGATTTTGACAACAACCGTTTTAGCGGCAAGGTAATTATCTTATTTCATAATCATATACACAAACATATTATTTTTTTATATACGTACATCACAATTTACTTGTGAATGTTATTTTGTATTTTATGTACATTTTGTATTTTGTATTTTATATCTTACATCGTTTTGTAAATTAAAGCTATTAAGTAGCGTCTTGAATAACCATCAATTTATTAATATATCTGTTTAAATGTAATTTATTATTTATAATTCGTTGCATAATTTTTTTTAGGTGAAATGGGGTAACAAAAATGGAGAGTACGGCGAACAGTATTGGGACTTGAATCATTAACTTTAGTAACAACTAGTAATTATTCATAAACAAAAACAGTGACGATTTGTTTGTTTAAAGTAAAAATTCCTTGTTTGAAATAGTTTCTACAATTTATTCTAATAAAATAATTATTATGAAGAAAAAAATTTTTAAACAATTACACGAAAGATTAAACATTTTTAATTATAAATTGTAAATTATAAATGATTGGAAGTAAGCTATAGAAAGAAAAAGTTGATATGTGAAATAAGAAAATACTAGTTGGCAAAGCCGAGCATGAGCATCGGTGGTTCAGTGGTAGAATGCTCGCCTGCCACGCGGGCGGCCCGGGTTCGATTCCCGGCCGATGCAATATCGTTATTTTTGTCTTTGTCCATTCGAATATGAATCATTCGCGAGACAATAGAGAAATTGAGTAGTTGAGTCTCAAACGTAAATTTTCTATGTAATAATATTTTTATGTAATAAAAATTTAACAAAAAAATATTTTATGCATCGGCCGGGAATCGAACCCGGGCCGCCCGCGTGGCAGGCGAGCATTCTACCACTGAACCACCGATGCTTCTGTGAACTGGCTTATTCGTACAAACTCAATACATTACGTTCAAAATACATGATAATTAAAATTGAAAGTCGTATTTTGTTTTTTTTTTTAAATGAAGAAATCAATAAAACTGAACATCAATTTTACCATGATCCATATAATTTCGATGCCAGACAGTTATGGAGATTGTAGACAGACTAGCAGTTTTCCCGACATCCAGCTCGCATACAAGTGTGAAATGCCGTTTGACCTGCGCCCGTAGGGGTCGCGATTTGCTTTCAAAACGAATCGATGGTCTCTTAATTCGATTTCGCGAAATTATGTTGCAATTACTCAAGAATAAATCGCAGCTTGGCCAAGTTATGAGAGACGCGGCTTTCTCGTTGGTCGAAGTTAATTACGCGACAGGTGGAGTAAACGAGCTGGTCCTACAGGCGGTCGACAAGGCCAAAACCAAGATTCGAACCAGACAGGAGATGATCGGTGGGATTCGACTATGGATTTACGAGACCTTCCGCAGTGGCGCCGATCCCTTCAAATTTACGGGATTAGCCAGAGGCGGTCAACAAGTGATTATGTGCATTTACCATTATATGTATGCAGCATGCGCCATATGATGAAAAGTTGACCACAATTAACCGTTTTGCTTTTATCAATTAAGTAAACATTGTTGTCCGTCGGTGATGTGTTCCGCAAGCTTCTATACAAATATCTCGATACCTCGCAACAGGTGGCTAGATTGAAGATTAATTATGGAAAGGCGATAGATCTGCTGGTCGAATTGGCGTCATTGCAGCGCAAGTATCAGATCCTCGATCGAGTAATCAAGACAACGAGACGTCGTGTAAACGCTCTTCGCTACATTATTATACCTCGGTTAGAACGGACCCTCGCGTACATCGTCACCGAACTTGATGAGTACGAGCGAGAAGAATTTTATCGTCTTAAGAAGATACGAGAGCGGAAAACGAAGCGATTACGTGATCGACAGTCCTCTTACCATTTCATTCGGAGCACCAATGTCCTACTAGACGATACGGACGAGGATCTTCTCTTTTAATACGTAGGGTGTGTGTATTATAACAGAATTGTAATGATTCACGATTCGAGAGCACGCTTGAAGAAAATACAGCGGTACGAATGTCCACGACGATGCTATCTTTATATATTTTGTTCTGATAATTAATTTATTTCACTCTGTTCGAACTCAAGGAAGGTAGTCACCCTGCGATAAATGCCGAACCTCTGAACGAAGGAGGAAGCGCGAGAGAAGGCGAGAATATGAAAAAAGGGCACCAGAGCTGCGTAGGTCCAATTATACCAAGAAAATACAGCCCGTAAAGCCAGTCTTAAATTAACTATGCTGCCAAACATCGGGATATGAGAACGTGACTGCTGTTCTTTTCTCTCTCCTAATAATCTACTCTTGACAGATCTCTCTCGTAGGTGTAGCAACTACGTTGAAATAACGAAAAACCTCCTTTCGCACGAAAATTTCAACTTGCCCAAGCATTGTGTGCCTAATTTTCACATTATATTATATAAGCTCCAATTAATATATGTACTGATATTTTCCTTGTAAGAATGAGTTTCCTTGCTATTTGCAGCGTTTCTTCAACCCCTTAAATTTAGGAAGTAATCTCTCTCTCTCTCGATTTTTCTCTTTCGTAAATTAGATGCACATGTGTAAAAGATATATAAAAAATGATCCCGCGCCGCATACCAAACGTGGAATAATCAGAGTCGATTGGACTCGATCGCCAGACGAAGAAGGCGCAGTGGCGCATACGAAATACGAATGTGTGTGTGTGTGTGTGTGTGTGTATAGGAGCACGACGGGACGGAAATCCCTATTCCCTGCCGGTGCCATGCCGGTGCCAGTGGAGAGAGGAACCATGCAGCCAGAGGAGAGCAGAGGAGAGCAGAGGAGAGCCAGAAGGCCCTGTAAAGAAGCGAACAAGCGTAGGAAGGAAGGGAGGGATAAACAGACGTCACGTCACGTCACACTAGGGCGCAATCCGTGGGCGTCGGACGCGGGGCGTCCAGGGGCGTCGCGGCGGGCCGGTCGCGGTCGGGTCGAGCGAGCCGCGAGCGTTTACTGTGGTTTAGTCGCACGGAAAGTTTCAACGAGGGAGGATCGCGCGTTCAGCCTGGCTATTCTTAGGCGATTGATTCGCCGATTAATTAAATTCACAATGATCCGTCTGAAGGATCATTGTAGCACGCGTTATCGTCTTCCGTGATTGCCCGATTATGCGCTCGCCTTTATTGTGATCGATTCTATTTCTACATTCACATTTGAAATCGCACTTCCACGGTTGTTTAAACGCGCGCGTGTCGCGCGTCACTGATCGTGAATTGTTAATTAATCAGAGCTGTGTGCGCGCGTGCGTGCGTGCGTGCGTGCATGCGTGCGTGCGTGCGTGCGTACGCATGTTCCTCGTGAATGGTTTACAAACTGTTCCTTTTCTGAGAGAAGAAACAATATAAGATGTCTGCGTTTCACGTTATACATATGTAAAGTAAAGTTAATTATTTTTCAAATCTATATTTCTAAATTATTAAATTAAAGTGTATGTGTGTGTGTGTATGTGTATTTGTGTGTGTGAAATCTACGTACATTTCATCAAGTTCAATCTGCGTCGCAAAGGACAGAGTGCGATGTCAAGTTATCGTGTTGAGATCTCAGTTGTTGAAACTTGATTAAATTAAAAGCAAGACCGAATCTACATTGGAGAGAAGCACCAGTTGAAATTGATGATCTCATTTAATGCGCAAATAAGTTAATTGAACTATTCGTCAAGATTAAATTTGACGGTTCTTCAAATAAAGCTATGACAGGATTTTAATTACGACAAGAAAGTGAGTCCAGTTGAATAAACAATAAAGTTAAATCTTTGTTAATCTTTGTGAAAAAGCACATCTCTCTTAGTCAAATTTTGTATTTAATTAATTCTCGATGTTTTTCTATGTGCATTTTTAATATAGGTAATTTTTCTCAACATATTTCCGTATTAAATTTTCACGCTTTTACGAATTTTTTACTTACCAGAAATTTCAATTGAAATCAAGTTAATTGTAAAACTTGTTATTTATATACAAGGTGTATAAAAAGTCCTGGATCCCTTGAATAGCTTGAAAAGTAATTATTTTTGAGAAAAATATTTTATACAAAATATATAAGGTTGAAAATGATCTATTGACCTTATCAATTTGACCTTGGATAGTGCCACCAAGGTCAAGTCAAGGTCAAATTGATTTTTTTAAACGAAACACCCTATTTTTGATTCTAGAATCTAATAGCTGAGGTCGGGAGCTTTCCAAAACACTAATAAAGCCTCTTTTTAATCAATACTTTTGAAGTTATGAGAGTTGAAAGTTAAGGAACCGCCGCGGCATTAGCATTACCTAAGCTAAGATGATCGTATCCATTTTAATGATGCGAGGATGGGGTGGTCATAGGAGGTCTTACGCAAGCGACAAGACTTTTCAATCAATTTTTTTAGAAATAAAGACAATGGTATATCTAAATCAACTGTCATTCGTTTGAGCATTTGTCATTCCTTTAACCCAACTCGCCTTACCTACTATAATAGTTTTTAATTACTTTCTCGGCTAGGCCCCACCGGGATCTGGAACTTCGTCAAGTTATATCTCTGAATAGAAAACAGATTTTTAACTTATCACATGCAAAATTGATATCTCTAGAATAAGACAAGAACAAATAAACAAAGATATAGTAATAAAATGGATACGATCATCTTAGGTAATGTTAATGCCGCGGCGGTTCCGTAACTTTCAACTCTAATAACTTGAAAAGTACTGATTAAAAAGAGGCTTTATTATAGTGTTTTGGAAAGCTCCCGACCTCAGCTATTAGATTCTAGAATCAAAAATAGGATGTTTCGTTTAAAAAAATCGATTTGGCCTTGACTTGACCTTATCAATTTGACCTTGGTGGCACCATCCAAGGTCAAATTGATAAGGTCAATTAATAGATCATTTTCAACCCTACATCTTTTGTATAAAACATTTTTCTCAAAAATGATTACTTTTCAAGATATTTAAGGGGTCCGGGACTTTTTATACACCCTGTATATATATATATATATACACACACGTATATTTATTTGATCTCTCTTCTATTTCCATGTTACAGGAAATACATGTCCATTACGCTTTTTCTTCGAATTCCCGATTGAAACTCGAAGCCGCGTGATGCACGATCGACAGACATATCCCAAAAGTTGCAGCACTTCCAGCACGGCGAATGCCATGTACGATAGAAAAGGTGAAATAACGTTTACGACATAAGGAATATTTATTGGAAAAGGTTTTTCGCGGAAAATGCGTTGGATTTTGTTGCCGTTGTTGACGTTGATACGTGCAATATGGTGCGCGCACGGCGCCTGCGAGCCGATCAGAATCGAGATGTGTCGTGGCCTTGGCTACAATGTCACTGTCATGCCGAATCTAGTTGGTCACGAGATTCAAGGCGATGCCGATTTTACCTTACAAACGTTCAGCCCGCTTATTCAATACGGATGCAGGTAAATTAAATATGGATGCTCTTTCTTCACATATCGTTTATCGAAATAGTATATACGTTATAGAGGAAAGGCTCCTATTATGAGATACCGAGTTCATTTTGGGTAAATGCTAGAAGTCTATAAGCAGAATTTTAAAAAATAATAGGTCATTTTGAAGGGAATTTAATAAGCTTTAAGATAACATTACATAAAATTTAATTCAAATTCTATCTTTTTTTAAATTAAAGAAATGTAAAAAGTGAGCAAATCGCAAAGTCAAAAAATTGTGCTCCTAATATGAGATGCCTCGAGAAATCGATAGTAAAACGCAAAGTATATCAGTATTGCGATTAAAAAACTTTATTTAATGTTTCTAAAATACAAACAAACGTAGCCAGCGTGCGCCAAAAATGAGCACGCGATAGATTATACATAGAACTCGTTTTCAGGTAGTTAGAATCAAGCCTCGTAGATATAGGCGTTCGACGTTCATTCCGGTTGTCTTTTTTATTATTGTACAATAACATTTATACTATCTCATATTACGATTTCCACATCTTATGATTTTACGATCATCAAATCTAACTTCTGTAATTAAACAATTCAACATATCCCATATTTTTCTATTAGTATGACCTTACTCTATCACTACATGAAGAATTTATTGCCAAATATTTATTTATTAAATAGTAAACAAGGTTTAAATGCTCATCTCAATGAAACTTGAAGACATCCAAATTCTAAAATCTTTACAATGACTACAGGCATGATCTAATAATGAATTTTCTACTAAATAGTTTTCAATCCAAGAGCAATAAATTCATGGTGGAACCAATATAGATAGCGTTTATTAGTTTAGCAAAAATACGCCGCTATCTCATATTAGGCGCCTATCTCATAATAGGGGGCTTTTCTCTACTATTAGTAGTAGAAGCGTTTTCTTTATAACTGCAATCTTGTAGCAATCTTTGCTTTATAACAGATAATAATAATAATAATAATAATTTAACGAAATAATTTTTTTACGTATGCACACATTATCGGCCTTGGACATTATATATATTTACATTTATATTTAGGTATATCAGCTGATTTGACATTAGATAAATTTCTAATAAATAATAATATCTATTAAACAATACATGTTTGAAACTTTGAATAATAAATAATTTAAAAAGACAGAAGCAGAATGTTAAAAAATGTGATTTTTGCTGATCTCTAATTGTTAATAACTTGTTGCAGCGCGCAATTGCATCTGTTCTTGTGTTCGGTGTATGCTCCGATGTGTACCGAGAAGGTTCCCGCACCTATAGGTCCCTGTCGAGGTCTGTGCGAACAAGTGCGGGCACGCTGTTACCCAGTTCTTCAGGGATTCGGTTTTCCCTGGCCCGCCGCATTGAATTGTTCCAAGTTTCCACCGGAGAACAATCACCAGCACATGTGCATGGAAGGACCGGGCGAGCCAGGGCCGGCTAATCCTATTCAAGTATTTAGCGAATATACATGTTATAAAGATATATGTATATTAAAAATTGTTACTCGACTAAACATTACACGTACATGTATTATCATCCAGGCGGTAAGCACCAGCAACGGACCTTGGGGCTGTTCCTGGTACGCCAAGTCTGGATTATACATCTTCCTGAATCGCTCTGGAAGATGCGCCGCCGCTTGCGATGCCGATATCCTTTGGTCCCAGAAGGACAAGAGGCTTGCGGAGGCCTGGATGGCCGTATTTGTAACGGTATGCTTAGTCTCCGTCGCGATCGCTATCCTGACGTTATTGAAGCCACGCAAACGGCCTATACTGACCAGCCCCGCAGGTAAGAAAATCTTCCTCGCCAAGCGAAACCATTTCTTATTATTGCAACCGTTGCAGTCGTTTGATTGATTCTGATTCTGCGCACTGAGAGAAATGATTTTGTTATAGGAACAAATCAAGGGAAAGCAAATGTGATGTTTGTTAAAAAAAC